CTGCTGCTGTCCTGCCTTGCCAGCTGAGCTCTTCATCCCCACACCGAAGGAACAGCCTGAGCCTCCTGGAAGCAGCAGTTTTCCACAGCTGAAATCTTAGTGCAGAAGTGTGGGAGAAATCTGGGAGCAGCCTGGCTGTTCCTGCACAGTGGGTTTGCACTCCCTGGCAAGTGACTTGGACTTGGGAAAACACAGCTGAGTTGCTCAGAAAAAGAACAGACCTTCCCTGTAGTCCTTCGCTCAGGTTTCCGTTTCCATCGTGCCTTGCGGAGCGTTGCAGGCATGTGCCCTCCTGCTGCTGTGCCCAGGACCAGGAGGAGGAGTTGAGGAGGTGCTGCCAGGGTTAATGGTGGGGTAAAGGAGCGGGTACATGGTCAGGGATTGCCAGGGCACCCTCTTTCTGAAGGAGGTTGAAGCTCTGTGTGCTGTTCATTCCTTCCCTCCTGGCTCCGGTGCAGCCTGGAGGCAGCAAATGCGCATGGGAAGAGGCAGGGCTGAGGGGGAAGTTTGGCTCCCTGACAGGGAAAACATCTTTTTGCTGTTCCACATAAAAACCAGGCAGAAGTAACCACTGATACTGCTTGTTCAGCAGGGGTTGTTGCTGTCTTTCCCTTGAAGGTAAGAGCTGTCCGGTGGGATTGTGTGTGGTGTGTTCAGGAGCAGTGGGAGCTGAGCCACATCCCGGTGAGCTGTGTGGGAACCGGCACACGCAGGGAGAGGGAACATCCCGGTGTGCCCTGGGCACAGGTAACACAGGGAATGGGGCGGGGAAAAGGGAACATCCCGGTGTGCTCTGGGCACAGGTAACACAGGGAACACACAGCTCCAGGCTGGCTTTGGAGGTGCTGCTCAGAAATGCTGTTGTGGAGGAAGGAGGCTGAGATTGCCAGGATCAGGGTTCTCTCCCCTTTCTGCCTCTAAAGCCACTTTGAAGGATAACTGGCTTTCATCAAATGAAATTTTGCCAGCATCCTGCTCTGCCTTTTGTGCTCATACCTCGCACACCTCTCTGCCTTCCTAGTCTCAGTATTTCCCAATTTCTGGAGCCAGTAGCCTGTGGCACACAGGTAGCTTTTCCTGGGGCCAGGAAAGCTGGGATAGTGTTGGCCACAATGCTGTTCCTGTTTCTAAAGGAAGAAGGCTGGGCTCAGTGAGGGAGCCCATCATCTTCAGAACTCTTGGCTTTTTAAAGCTGTATTTACAAAAGCCTGGAAGCTGGAATCTGTGTCTGCTTGATGTGCCATGAAGCTGAAAGTGCTCATATCCTTTATTCATTGAATTTTAGTGTGGTTTTTTCCTTTCCTAAATACCAGAAGTTATTTTTTTTTTTTGGGGGGGGGGGGGGGAAGAGCTCCAAAAATGAGCAGCAGCAGCTTTTGAAGTGGCAACGTCACTGAACGTGGTCGAGGATGAACAAACGCTGCTTCCTGTCTCGGTGGCTGGAGACACTGCTCCCGGTGGGAAAACACAGCCAAATCACTGTGGGGCTGAGTTAGCAAGTGCAGGAGGAGCAGGGACAGCACTGAGTGTCTGTGCTCGTGGGAGGGGATCTCAGCTGTGAGGCTGACTCAGAGCTGCACCATCGGGGCTCGCACGTGAGTTAGACCTGCCGGCATCTGCTCTGTCCTTGGCAGGTCTGTCTAACCCGGGGAGATTTCGGCAGCCTGAAGCACAGGCAGCTGCTGCCTGGCAAGAATGGTGTTACCAGACCAAATCTTTGGGTCTCCAAGCAGTGCAGGAATGATCTGTGGGTGTCCTCTTTGTGGCATTGTCTATTTTATGGTGCTAGGACCTGTTCTGGTGGCGCAGTGTTCCCTGGTCCCACTGCACACCAGTTGGTTTTGGGAAGTTTGCCCATTGTACCTGTCTGGAGACCAAGTCAGATGGACAGACCTTTCCTCTTGTCATGTTTGGATCCCAGACTGTTTCCACAGTGATGTAACACAGGGAAGTGCAGCCAGCAGGGGACACTGGACCCTGACACACCAGCTCCTCTCATCACTGCTGGAAGTAGCAGGGAGAGCTTTGTGTCACCAAAGGATGTGTCAGTAATGGGAACCAGGAACTTTGGGGCATCAATCAGTGGCCTTTGGACAAGGGCCTGGAGTGACAGGACACAGGGAATGGCTTCACACTGACAGAGAGTGGGTTTAGATTAAATATTTGGGAAAAAATTCTTCCCTCTGAGGGTTGTGAGGCCCTGGCACAGGCTGCCCAGAGAAGCTGTGGCTGCCCCATCCCTGGAAATGTTCAAGGCCAGGTTGGGCAGGGTTTGGAGCAGCCTGGGCTAGTGGAAGGTGTCCCTGCCCATGGCAGGGGTTGGAATGAGATGAGCTTTAAGATCCCTACCAACCCAGACCATTCTAGGATTCTGTAATCCCTCATTAACTAGATTCAGAGTTGCTGTGCACAGGAAGAAGCTGATTAGAAAGCCTCATGTTTCCTCACCAGCTCTTTGACTGTGCTCACTGTGTAGAGAAAGCTCAGACACATCTTTTGGGGCTGGGAGTTGTGCCCCAGTCTGGGGGGATCTAGAGGTTTGTTCTTCTCCTCACCCAAAAGCTTCCTAGAACGAGACCCTGGGTTGATTAGGGAGCCCAGAGCCAGAGGAGGACACAGAGTTCGAGGCCACAGCCAGGTGGGACAAGCCGTTTCTGCTCTGGGGCCTTGATGGAGCTGTGCTGTTCTGGCTGTGTCTGTCAGTGCTGTGCCCCAGCAGGTTAATGGGAATCCTTTCTCTTTCATTTTCAGTAGCAAGTCTGCAGCCTTTGTGTGTCTTCTGCATTTAGCAGGAGCTGTGTTTCCAGTGATTCCGTGGTGGATTTATCCTCTGTACTTAGTTTGCAGTAGAGGAGCCAGTAAAAGCTGCTCTTGCAGCTGAGAAGAGCTAATCTGTATTTTTAGCTGGAAACAGCATCTTCTCTCTCCATCCTCCTACTGGTAACCAACTCCTTTTGAGTTTTAGGATCTCGCAGCGTGTCCTTGCTCTGAAGGACCTGCTCTAGACGTTGGTGATTTCATCAGATCTTGAACTTAAGGCTGGTAATCTTGGAATGCTGCGGAGCTGTCCGTGCCAGGGTGGTGAGGGATGCCCTGGGGAAGCCGTGTGCCCTCCGGTTTCCCACGGAGCTCTCCATCGGAAATGGGCTGGGTTTGTGCTGCTCGCATTAAGATGAAAGAAACCACAGGAGAAACAGCTTCTAAGAGGCTTAAAAGCAACAGGCTTTTCTTTTCCTCCTGGGAAGGGCACACAGCCAACATCTTGCTCTTTACAGATCTCTTTTAATAAGCAGAATATTGCAGTAGGAGCGACTGCTCTTTACAGATCTCTTTTAATAAGCAGAATATTGCAGTAGGAGCGACTGAGCCTGCCAAGAATGAGCAGAACAGCCCTGCATCCCACAGCTTCCTTCATCCCAGTGCACGTGTGGCTCTGGGATCCATAGGCCATTGCCCTTGTGGATGCCATTCCCTGCTGGTCAGGGTGGCAGGATTAATGGCTGGCCTGGTCTGGGGCTGCCTTCATCTGAAGGGCGTTTTTAGAGTGGCTGGTGGAGCATGTGGGTGGGTCTCCTCCTCTCCTGTGTTTTCTTTCCAGCTCTTTGGTGGGGGGACTGAGGCTGGGGAGTGTTGAAAGATGTTACATTATGGGAAAGCAGTATCTGAATGGGAGGAGATCTGTTAGGTGAGAAAAGCTGTGGGCTCAGCTGGCCTGTGGGGGCCAGGAAAGCTCCCTGGCAGGCTGGTGTCCCCAGGTAAGGCCTCCTCATCCAGGACCCCTGCAGGCACAGGGACAGGAAGGTCTGGGTGTGCAGGGTGGGGTGTTTGGCTACTTTCAGAAGACTAAGTCCTTCTCATCTTCCCATCCCCAGTGAGCTAAAAGGAGCACGGCCCAGTTTGCAGCTTTGTAGGTCACTGAAGGAGAAGGGAGGCTCTGCAGTGTGCCGGGAAGCGCCCTGTGCTGTGGCAGCTCTCCTTCCCCGGGCGTCTGAGGAAGAAATTGGAGAGAGGAGCAGGATGGAAGATGACCCCCAGCTGCCCTGCTGTTACACTTTGAAACTGCCTGGTTGCAACACACAGTTTCAGACCTCGGGGGAGAAATATTAGTCAGTAAATGTGGACATCCAGGGCAGACCCTGTGCCTGTCGGGAATTTGCTCAGCTCCTGGGGGCATCAGTGTGCTCCTCCTGAGCAGCAGCAGGTGATGGTACTCCATGGACTGGTGACCTGAGAGATTTTCTGCTGCCTTGCAGGAGGCTGCTGGGGGCAGGGAATGTGAACTAGGAAGAAGGAGTGGAATAGAGCAAAGCCAAGCAGGTGAGGGAGGGATGGATCTCCCTTCTGTGCTTGCCAGGGCCTTGGCTCCAATAGACCCGGGAACTGCAGGTGGAGGTGGCTGTGCCCCACGGGCTCCTCTCTGGGCACCCCTGCAATGCAGGGCTGGGGCAGCACTGGCTGCCTGGCCTGGTGCCCGGGGAGGTTGTGCCGTGCTGTGCCGTGCCGGGGAGGTTGGCGCGCTCCGGGCGGGCTGCCCAGCACGTGGCACTGGTGTCAGCAAACAGGACAAGCAGGGTCACATTTGCTTCTGGCCTGTTGGGGTGAAGGAGGGAGGGCTCAGGGAGGGCTCAGCCCACAAGGGGAGCTCCCGGCTCTGCTCCTGGGCACTGACAGCAGTGTCACCCTGACCCATCCTGATGGCAGCCAGCCCAAGCACCGAGGGAGCAGCCTCTCATTTGTATTTCCCAGTTTACTCACGTTATAACTGAACCAGAGAAAACAGGGAGATCGGGTTTCTTGATGTTGTTGCTCTTCCTTGGATCTCAGGGTGTGTTGGTGGGGCTTTGCCACGTGCTGAGGACACAGAGCCTTGTACCTGCCATCGAGGGGGCACGTGGGGAGGTACCTGCACTGGGGACAGGAGGGGGTTTGGTGTGGTGGCCAGGGCAGCACTGCAGCTGTGACTCCTCTCCATCTCTGTAACTCCTTCTCTCCTTTTGCAGAGATCTGGTGGGAGAACCGGCTTCCAAACTACACCACTCAGAGGAATTGCTTCTCTCAGCTCTGTTGAGGCCTCTGAGCTCTCACTGCGAGGGAGAGGACAGGTGAATAGTACCCCATGTAAAAGAGTGGCCCCAGCTGTTGAAGCTGGTCTTACCTTAGCTCACTGGATTTGTTTACAGATTTACTTAGAGCTGCTCTGTGAGTTTGCAGCCTCTGCCTTGGCATTTACACTCAGGGGTCCTGCCACCCTCAGGGCACAGTGTCGTGTGTCACTGTGGGTGGAGTTGGGGGGCTGTGGGCAGCGTTGGCAGCTCTTCCCCACCTTTGGTACCCCAACACCACAGCCAAGGCACTTGGCAGAGCAGGTTCCAGCCCAGCACTGCCCTGGACTGTGGCCACACAGCCCAGAGGTGCCCTGATGAGCTGCAGTTCATCAGGTGTGGGCCATGCAGGGAAGCGCTGCAGAGCCAGCAGGAAGGGGTTACACCTTGGATTTGCTGCCTGGTCACAGCCTGTCCATCTTTGGGGCTGCACCCCTGGTTCTGCCCAGGGTGGGTGCTGAGGCGAGTGCAGTGGTGGCACCAGCCCTGTCCCCTTCTGTTGTCACCTCCTTCCCCAAGTCCTGTGCAGCTCTGGGCAGGTGCCTGTGGCACCAAAGGCTGGTGTTTTTCTAAAGGTTTCTGTCCCTGCAGGGCCACCCTGAGCCATGTCCAACGACCCACCGCCACCCTACCCGGGGGGCCCCTCGGCACCGCTGATAGAGGAGAAGCACGGGCCCCCCTCTGCACCAGGTACTGGGGGTGGTCCTGGCTGCTCGGGGGTGTTGTGCTGACATTGTCCATCAGACAGGAGCCAAGCAAGTGTGGATTCCCTGGGAGTGCCCTGGCTGTGGCTTTTGCTGGCAGCTCTGCCCTGCCATGCACGGTGTGCTGGGGAGGGTGGTGCAATGCCCAGCTCCATCTATCCCCATGTCACCCTCAGAGAAGGCAGGGGAGGTCATGGGGGCAGCAACGAGAGCAGGAAGCACTCCCAGCTCAAAGTGTGGCTCTGCTTGCTGCTGTGGGTGAGGTGGGGTGAATTTGGGCTTCATGTGGCCCAGAGGATGAAGCTTAAGGCAGTGCCCCCCACCTCATGTGTTCCCCTTCCCTGGGACCAACCCTCTGACCACACAGCCAAGCCACCATCTCCCCATCAGCTCTGCTGCCTCCCTGGCTGCTGACTCTGTGTTTCCTTTCAGAGGGTGTCACCCCAGTGGTGGGACAGCCCCAGGGGGTTCCTATCCCCCCTCCTGAGTTTGGGCCCCCCCCGTATGAGCCACCCTCTCAGCCGGGGTTCGTGCCCCCCCACATGCCCACGGATGGCTCCGGGCCCTACGTGCCGCCGGGTGAGTCCTGTGAGGGGCTGGGGATGCAGGGGGTGGGGAGGGGTGGCAGCACATGACTCCTGGGGAAGGGGGGGACACAAGGAGGGGCTGGAGCTGCCATTTGGGGCTTGCAGTGAGGCTCCTGGGGGACACAGTGCCTGCAGCAGGGTTGGCCCTAAGTCTGTACCCCCGGTGGTGGTGCAGCAGCAGGATGGGGACCTCCCCAGTGAGGATGTGCCTCTCCAGCCACATATAAAGATGCTCACCTGTGCACGTTTCTCATTCACAGCAGGGTTCTACCCACCCCCAGGCCCTCACCCCCCCATGGGCTACTACCCTGCCCCAGGCCACTACCCCTCTCCTGGCGGCCACACGGCGACGGTGCTCGTCCCACCGGGAGCTGCCACCACAGTGACGGTGCTGCAGGGAGAGATCTTCCAGGGTGCCCCTGTGCAGACAGTGTGTCCCCACTGCCAGCAAGCCATCACCACCAAGATCTCCTACGAGATTGGGCTCATGAGCTTCCTCCTTGGCTTCTTCTGCTGCTTCATGGGGTAAGTGCTGCAGGGGGAGCTAGGGCCTCGCAGTGGACGCTCAGTCCTGGTCCTGGTGGCCCTAGTGCTGTGGGCCTTGGCTGAGCTGCTGGGCAGGACTGGGGTCTCAACGTGGAACTGGGGCAGCAGAGAGGTTCGGGGGGTGACAGCCCCTACACATACTCATGTCTCTTGCCTGTGCCCCCGGTGTCCAGGGGCTGCCTGAGCTCACCGCCCTCTGCCTCTTCCCTTCCTGTGCTCCAGGTGTGATCTCTGCTGCTGCCTGATCCCCTGCCTGTTCGATGACTTCAAGGATGTGACCCACACGTGTCCCAACTGCAAGGCCTATATCTACACGTACAAGCGCATGTGCTAACAGCGCCCTGGGAGCCACTGGAATGACACCGGCCCCTTCCCGCTGCCGTCCGAGTCTCCGCGTGTGCATCCCTCCTTCGCTTCCCGCCGGTGGTGTGTGTGTGTTATCCCCGGCTCCCTCCCGCTCAGAGCTGCCACCACCTGCCCCGAGCTCTGGTCCTCACTGGGAACAGCTGGATTGGCGATGCTGGTGCACAGGGGAGGGGGGCCCAGGCCCCAGATGCTGTGGGAGGTGCCCTGCAGGAGCGGGGGCATTGCTCTGCACCCCTTTACTCTCTGGAGTGTGAGCAAGGCCCCTCTCCCCTGCAGTAACCCCAGTGCTGGAGGGGCTCACCCCCGTCCCACAGCACAGGGGGTGCCTGGCTGCTGGGATGTGCTGCAGCCACAGGGAGCCCAGGAGGGAAGGGGGGGGACCTGAGCAGCCCACGGCACACTCAGGGGACACAGCACAGCCCTGGTGGCACTTTTAGGAAGGGGCTCAGAGGGTAGTGCCACACACCATGTTTCAGGGTGGTTCTCGGCCCCCTCCAGCCCATCGGCAAAGCCCCTTCCCAAGGAGAGGCAGAGCTGCCTTTGAGCACGGAGAGGGGACCGGCAGCAGCACTGCACCCTTGATCAGCACCTCCGTCCTGCCCCCGTGGCCGCTCCAGCTGCATGTGCCCCCTCCCAGCCCCGCCGGCTCCGGGGCAGGGACAGCTCCCGGCAGCCCCGATAGCCAAAACCACACCCGGCATGTCGCTGCCTGCCCGGCACGTAGAGTAGAGGAGTTTTGTTACCAGGCCGCAGCTCCGGAGCCCCGCCCTGAGCCCGGCGGGGTCTGCGGGCCCCACCCCGCACTGCCCTGCGGGGTCCTCCTTGCATGTGGGTGTAGGGGGTATTTTTAGCTCACTTCAGTGGGGCAGAAGGAAGGGGGCAAGCAGGCAGCGACAGGAGCTGCCAGCAGCACCCTCACAGGCACGGGGAAGAGGACCTGGGAGCCATGGTCAGCCCCTGGGGGCTGCTCCTGCCCTGCCCCTGCAGCCCCCCGAGCAGTGTAGGGGCAGGTCTCTTGGTACCCAGGTCTGCAAACACGGCCCAGCCTGCACAGGCAGCTGCTGTTTGCCCAGGGGTGGAACTGTGGCAATAGTCAGTGTTTTTATGTAAATAAATAACAGACCCTGAACTCGTGTACATCTTTTCTTCTCTCCTGATCAAAATCCAGAGCAGATCTGCCTGCAGGGGAGCTGAGGATGAGGAAGAAGAGCAGCAGCTGCCCTACCCCACCAGGAACCCTCTCACCAGGAACCAGGGGAAAACCCAGGGGAGGCAGCAGGGACAGTGGGGTGCAAGAGCAGGAGTTTCTCAGGGACTGCCTGAGTCAGAGACAAGTACAACAGTGCTCCCATCTCCCCCTTAATCCCCTCCCCAGCCTCTCCTGTTCTCCCAGTGACTTGATTCTGGCTTTCCCCAGCTATAGCATTGCAACTTTTTATTTCAGTCAAGGCTTCAGGAAAAATAACCAACAACCAACCCTCAACCCCAAAGTTGCACAATACATATCTGTCACCTCCATACCCCCTCACGGTCCTGCCCCCATCCCCAGGGTGCTCCCTCCAACAGGAGTCAGATCCTTGGGACAGCACACCCAACAGGACACTGCTTTGAGGTAACAGCCCCACAGCACAGCTGCAGCTTCTCAGGGTGGGAAAGCAAGTGCTCTTTGCTGAAGAGGCTGATGACACATTCTGGGGATGCAGCCCAGGGCAGGAAACCCCCTCCGGACACTGCTCTGGGGATGGAGATGAAAAGCCAAGCACGTGAAGCCTTTGCCAGGACAGGACAGGACATCTTTAGCCTTAAAAGCTGCCCCAGCCTGGGCAGGGCAGGGCAGTGCTGCAGTGGAATCCTCACCCCCTCACACCGACCAGTCCTGGGCACTAGGTCAGCTAAAGACATCCCATTACAGCGGTGTGCAAGGAGGCTTGGACAGTCCCGCAGGATTCCTGTTTACTTCCTCACTCCAACTCTGCAGCCAACTCACCACCAGCAAGGGAAGGGTCTGAAAACGGACAGGGCACATCTCTCTCCTTGCCCCCACGCCGTGCCAGTCACAGGATGTACCAGGCTGCAGCTCCTGCTGCCACTGCCACGCAGGCTGCCAGCACCAGCTGCACGAGGGGCTGCCTGGCCAGACCCACCGCGGCGTGGAAAGGGCAGCCGGGCCCTGCCGCGCCTGCCAGGACACAGAAGGCACTGTTAGTGCTGCCAAGGCTCGTGCCACGCACGTGTGGCAGCTCTCCCTGCCCCCACCTACCCAGTTTGTCTGCGTAGTAGGGGCATTTGCGGATGTCTCCTTTTCCGTCGTGCACTGGAAACCCTCCGTCTTGGGCTTCTTCTGGCAGCGACCTGCCGATCTTGTCCAGCTCATCAAACACCTGCAAGTGGCCACAGCGAGCACGTGAGGCAGGCACAGCTCATCCAGAGCCCTGGAATCATCTGGAGAACAGGCAAGCACCACTCCTGCCTCCCTCCCTCCCACCGGGACTCCTTTGGGAGCACCTCGCTGCAAACCTGTGGTGGCACCTGGCACATGTTACAGCTCCAGGAAGGAACAGCCCATCCCAAAAGCATCCAGTCAGAGCCAGGAGAAGGCAGGACCACCCTGCTGCTCCCCTCCCATCCTGCTGCAGGTGGGAGTGTGAGCCAACTGCACACTGTCAGAGGATCCCTGCTCCTGCAGTGGCCAGGCAGCCCCTCCAGCTCTGTTGCCAGAGGATTCCATAAGGATCCTGATGAAGGAGCTAACCACATCCCAACACATTCCTGACCAGTTTAAACCACACTAACCAGCTACAAGCACAGATTAAAGCTCCCACCCAGTAGCTAAATCTGTGTTCATCCCCCTGGGGCAAGTGGCAGCTCAGTCAGGTTTGATGAAAGGCAAATGCTATGGGAGGAACAAGAGGCTCCAGACATTTTTGGCCATAGGGCAACATGTCAGACCTGAGACAGGAGATGACTGTCACCAGGGTGGTGTAACACACTCAAACTGTTTGAGGCTGTCTCAGAGTAACAGCTCTGTTCCCCCTACTGCTTCAGAGCCACACAGGCCACAGGAATCTTGAAGTCATATTAATTTTGCCCAAGTCAAAGGCCCAGCCTGTGGTGTTGGAGCACGGGAGGAATTCCTGCCCAACACCAGCTCCAGAAGCTAATGGAGAAGCTATTTAGAGTAGAATCCCAACCCCACAAGACAGAGGGGCTATGGTGGTCTCAGCCCCAAACCACTGCCTGGGTGAGCAGTCTGACTGGATCAGACCCAAAAGCAGCAGCACCTGCACACACAGGAGCTCAAGGGATTTGTTTAGTACCTGCATGTTAAATCTGAAGGCTCTGTTGGCCTCTTCCACGATCCTTTCCTTGGTGTTCTTGTCCAAGTCCAGAGCATTCATCCTTGCTCTGTAAAGCTGCTTGAACTGCTGTGCATTAGAAACATTCTCAAACACGTAGAACTGGATCCCTTCCTCAGTACTGGGCAACTTTAGGGCCCTCTGGGCCACCTTCTTCAGCACCTGGCCACCTGAGAGGTCCCCCATGTAGCGGGTGTAAGCGTGAGCCACCAGCAGCTCTGGCTCGTGCTGTCCCACATGATGGATTCTGTCCACATATTGCTGAGTTGCCTCTGAACACTGGATCTTCTCTTTCCAGTCTTCTCCATAGAAATATTTAAGGTCTTTAGCCAGTGCTTCCCTCCGGTGAAGCTCCACGGGGAAATAGAGAGGAGCAAAGACCGGGTTGTCCTTGTTGCGATCCATCTCCTCCTCCAGGGCAGAGTAGGTGAAGTGCAGGGCCACTGTGGCCAGCTATGGACAAAGCACAGCTCACCTGAGAAGCCAGTCCCTGGATCAGGACTGCTCCCCCCTGCTTGGAATTGGGGTAAACAAGGAGGAAACCCCCGGGCTCAACACAAAACCCGCCTGGAGAGCTCATACTAGGCAGGTATTGCTTGAAGGAGCAGAGGCTCTGCTCTGTCTACCCCCATAACACCCCCCAGGGCTGTGGGGCTCTGCCTCCAAGTCTGCATCACATCAAAGAGATCAGGAGCAGAGCAACACCCACCTTGAAGAGCTCCTTCCTGATCCGTCCTTTCAGGAAGTCCTTGACAAACTGGGTGTTCTCAGCACGGTCGTGGGATTCCTTAGTGCCCTCCTTCAGCAGCTCTGACAGGTCTGTGGGGCTGCAGGGGACAGGGAGAGCTCCTTTTACCCCACGCCCACACACAGCTATGAGTTTGTCCCTGCTGTGTTTGCAGGGATCCCCTTCAATCCCTAACATCCCAGGCCCAGATTGGAGAAGGTACAAGGTGGGACCCTCAGGCCACTCCCCAGGTTGAACTGGCACCAGCAGGAGGAAGCAGGGCAAGAATACCCTTAAAAAGTTTATTTCTCCTGAATTACACTGGTTTTGCAGGTTTCCATATGGTGAATTTCTAAAAAAAACCTCATTAAAATCTATGATTTGTAGTTACAGCCACTGCACTTACCTGGAGGGTGGTACAGTATCAACACTACACTCACTCAAATCATGCCAAAGTGCACTTTGTGTTTTTTATCACTAGTTTGCTACAAGTGGCACGTTCCCTGTTAGCTGGAAGAGAGACTTTGGACACTCCAGACCCACTGAGTGTGCCAGGAGAGCCAGGAAACATTAACTTCTTGTGAAGCTGAGCCTGTCAAGTCAAAGAAGTCAACCAGCCTATCTAGGTCTTCTGGGAAACACCCTGTTCTCCCTTCCCATTTTCCAGGTCTGAATCCTTGGGGTTTAGAGCATGTTTGTGAATTTGGTTTTGGAACTAACCTCCTAAAAAATGTTCTTGCCTGGACCTGCGGGTATTCTGCAAAGCAAGAAAGGCAGCTGTCCAGAGTGGAGTTCACCTCTAGAGTCACCTTTCAAAACAAGAAGCTGCTATCACATGAGCCTGCCCAGCGAGCCATGGAAAACCAGCTTCCTCGGCCAGGAAGGCAGAAACACAACCACCAAATGGTCAAAGTGTTTGTGGAATGTCAGTTTGATAGTGGCAGCTAAAAAAAAAAATAACTGTGTTGTCAGCCCTGCCAGATTGCTCCTTCCCATCCCTTCCAGTAGTTTGATTAAACAGATTTTACTGCACGTGTAGTTGATTAGTCATCTACTGGTGTCTCTCACTTCTTTCAGATGAGGAGAAGGATCACTCCTTGACCTGGCAGGTCTCCTGCCTTGCCCAGGGCTGTGTCTGTGCCACAGTGTAGGACAGGACTCACCTGACATTGTTGTCTTCTGTTTCCTCGTAGCGCGAGACATCCGCGTCTTCTCCCGCCTCCGGGCCCTCCATGGCCGATGGCATTGCTGCTCAGTGCTGGGGATCGGTCTGAAAGGCAAAATCAGGAAGGGGCTTTTGGGGGAAGCTGCTTTAGCAAAGGGATGGGTGTGAAATGTTGTCTAACAAGGAGCTTCTGGGCTGCCCCCCAGGCAGGGGGTGAGGAACAGCCGCCGTCCGTTTCCTCTGAACACCAGGCGCTTCCAAGGAAGCACATTTGTTTGTTCAGTTCAGCCCCCCCAGGAGAACCTCAACACCGACACCCAGCTCACTAAATATCAACCTCAGAGACCTACAACACAGCCAGCAGCCTGCATTTGGCTTCCCACTTCAGGGTGGCTCCTGGCTGAAGGTGAGAGCTCCAAGCTGGGAACCTGCACTGAAATCGTGAGCAAGCAGCTCTCCCCTGGTGCCACCAAATATTTCACCCAATGTGCTGCTCAGAGCAGAGTCACAGGAAAGGGAAGCACCTCCCCTTCACTCAGGAAGAAGAACAAGCTCCATTTCCACAGCAGCACAGAGCTTCCCTGGAAGAAAGCAGTGGGGAATTAGGCCAGCTGAGCTCTGAAGTCAGGCAGCTCACAGGGGAAGCAAGAACATTCCCTGAGACAGAATATAGGAACTTCCAAAGCAAGGGTAGATTTCACTGCTCCTGCTCCCACTCACAGCCTCCTCTCCTGCCTGCCAGGGTTTACTTCAAACCCCACAAGCAGCTGGGTTTCCCCTCCTCTTTTGCGAAAGGAAACAGAATCTCCTTGGACATACCAGGATGCACAAGACTTACCCAGAAGCAGGAACAATGGCTCACTCATTGGATCGGCACATCACACCTCGTGACTACTCCCCCCCCACACGCAGTTGGGGTAAACAAGGAGGAAACCCCCAGACTCGACACAAAACCAGCCTGGAGAGCCCATACCAGGGAGGTATCCCTTACACTGGCTGAGCACAGAAATCCAGGCACCTCATTTACAAAGTGGGTCTGTAATCAGCTTTGTGCAGAGCAGCACCACCACCTTAGAGGCAGCCTTGGCAGAGGAGCAAGGGGCTAAGCTGCTGCTGGCCCTTTGGAAAGCCTCACTCCAAGAGAGCCATCCTCATGCTCCCCCACTTCAGTCCAGCCCCCTCAGGGGGCTGCATCCTGCAGGACCTGGCAGGGTGAAGTCTCCCCACCCCAGGATGGGGAAGGGCAGGGCAGGTGGGAACACCAGCACATGGGCTCAAGATAGGTGAGGAAACCACCTTCAGGTGCTGTCCTGTCCATGTGATCACTCCCTAGACAGCACACGTGCTCACATCAGCTCAGCACACTGGACTCATCTTCGCTCCTCACACAGCTCCACCTTCAAACATTGGGAGATGCCCACTGTGGGGAAGGGAAACCAAAGCAGAGGCAAATCACCCACCTGAGCTCAGCCAGGAGCCTGTCATGGGCACAGGGGGCACAGCCCACTCACCTCTGCCAGTGCAGATCATCTCTCCAGCTCGACTTATGGCAGGCCAGACCTTCTCAAGAGATGCATATTCCAAAATGAAACTGGACAAACGAGTTCCAGCTTATCTTACAGCCCCAGAAAGCCAGAGGCCTGGAGGTAGGGTGTGCTGTCCCCACACACCTGCAACAGCCCCGGGTACAAAGCAGCAGGTGAGAGCAGAGCTACAGAGCACTTCAGCACCACTCATCCCTTGGGAGAGGCCTGAAGGCTGACATCAAATCCAGCCTAAAGGAACACACCACATCAGGCTCAGAAAATCATGGTTAACAGCAGCAGTGGCTCAAGGCTCCCAGTGGCCACGTGCACATGGCCCTGAGATCATCGCTGTACAAGACACCTCTGCTCACCCCTCAGAGCCTCCTCTCCCGCGCCTCGGGCACACCCGTGTTCAGCAGCACTCACCCACACGGGAACTCTGCTCCCCACATCACACAGGGGGAGCTCCTGGGGTCTCAGAAGCCTTTACCCAACCCTGTTACCGGTGCTGTAGCAGCACAGCTGATGAGAACAGGGAATGGCTGCCCCAGGAGCACTGTCTGCTGACGGGAGCAGGGTTCAGCACACAAACAGGCATTTAAGGTCTTTGATGCACTCTGGGACTTGTATCTGCAACTGTGCAGCAGAGGCTCAGTGTGACACGTTCCTCTCCATGGCAATAGGGCAGTCAGTGATGACAGCAGTCCCTGTAGCCCGAGGCAAGGGCAGAACACGTGCAGGAAATAGGGAAGCTCAGATTTTTCTGATACAGTTTCTAGTACAGACACCTCCCCGATGAGCCATGAATTCAAGAGACATGTCAGCACAAACCAGCCCCATCCTTTCCACTGCTGGGCTACTGCACAAGAACTGGGAGGAAGGAAAGTCAGAATCATTGCGCCTCTTATCACTACACATTGTTGCTTTTACTCAAAAACTGGCAACTCCAGCCCCTGGTCACAGCCCTGGTTTCTCAGGGTGCTCTGCTCCTCTGGAAAGGAGGTTGTGTCCCACATGCTAAGGAGGTGGCTCAGGCAGCTGCCCACCTCCTCTGCAGAGGCTGGAATGTCATTCCATTTGCTGCAGGAGCTCAGTTCATCCAGGACCTGGCTGATGTTCAGTGTAAACACATATCTTTGCAGTGCCTGGACAGCAGCCTGCCTGGGAGAAATCCAACTCAAATCAAAGCCATGAGCTGGGACAGCAGGGCTGGAGAGTGGGGAGGAGGTTTGCTACAGGACACCTCAGCATTCTAAACATCTCCTTCCCAATGACAGCATTCAAACCCTCCAAGAAAACATCCCACCTCATCCAGCCAGCAATTACTTTGCCCCCACGCACATCTCCCCAGCAAGCCTCACACCCCAGATGCACAGCTGCTCTTCTAGGGTAGGAAGACACTTAATCCCAATAATCCTGTGCCTTTTGAAGGAAGCAGGACTGGAAGCCCCAGAGTTGCTTGGGCACCCTGGGAGAAGTTCAATAGCTCAGGAACACCCAGGCAGTACAGAGTTCACCTTTGCTGTTTGACCTCCACGTAATTTCAAGGCATTTCCCCATACACAGAGCTCAGAGTGTGGCTGGACCTACCTGAGCATCACTGTGCTGGAGACAAACCCCAGAACTCCACTCTAGGGGCTGGAATCATCTCAGAGGTTACCTGGCAATCCCAGCAGGAGAGACTTGTGTCTCCTCCTCCCTCTGGGGAGGAATTTGGCACCGGCTGCTGCTGGAAATGGAGCCTCACAGAATAAATTACCACATTACCTGATCCCAGGTACGTTTAAGGCTTCATCAGGACACAGCCAAAATTCAGGCAATAATTCAAGTCTAAGACACTTCTATCAGTGCCCACACAAATGCTACTTCTGTCCCCCAGAGCTGCAGCTCAGCACCTCAGCAACCTGACCGAGGGAAGCTCCTGGCGAGCTCACAGACCTTCAGAGTGCTGTCCTTTGGTGGTGGCCTTTGTGACAGGCAGCACATCAGAAACCTATTTTCTCACCTTGGCTATGAGAACAGCCAAGGGACAAGTCAGTCAGGGTTGGATCTGGGATAAGAAAGACACAGATGGCTATATCAAAGAGCTCTTGCTCTGGGGAGAGCCAGTGCTCGCCCTGCCTGTCCCAGCACGCTGACAGCTGTGCCTGGGACGCGCCGAGCGGGGCCAGTGACTGGCACTCAGGGTGTAATGCACTGCTGGGTGTAAGTGCTGAGCCTTGAATAGGACAGTTCTTTCACCCAACAACGGAAAGGCAGGGACAGCGAGAGGCCTCGGAGGCCTTCGCCCTCCAAGCTGTTCTCTGAGCTCGGCGGGATCAAGGAGAGCCAAGTGCCCCTCTCGCACGGCTCCCGACCCGAAGCCCCGGGCAACCGTAACGAGCCGCCGCAGAGTCACCGCGGGGCTCTGAGGCCGCCGTGTCCCGGAGTGGGGACACAGGGCAAGGATCCGGGAGGGCTGACGACTGCGGGCCTGGCCCGGCAGACAGCTCGGCCGCCACAGCTCCGGGCCCGCCGTCCCAGAGTCCTCCCCTCGCCGCCGCAGGGTGCGGGACCAGCCCCGCGGAGCAGGGCCCGGAGCCCCCCCGTTGCCACGGAGACTCACCGGAGCCGCCTCCACCCTCCGCCCGCGGCGCGAAACAAAGACCCCGCACTGCCGGCCGGGATTTATTAATGAGGGGGGGTCACGGCGCGGCCAATCAGGACACACGGACGGCACGCGCCGGCGCCGCCGATTGGTGGGAGCGGCCGGGAAGTCACGCCGCGGCCCTGGCCCCGCCCCCTCACCTGGACGGCGCCGTGCGAGGCCCCGCCCCCGGGCGACGTCAGCTGCCGCGCATGCGCAGCGGGCACGAGCGGCGGCGGAGAAGAAAACATGGCGGCGACGGTGCTTCGGTACCCGCGGCTTTATTGGCTGCGGCAGCAACGACACCTAGCGCGGCTCCCGCCTCACGGCCCCTGCGGGGCGGGGGGCACACTCGGACAGCCCTCGGACAGCAAGGCGGCTGAGGACACCAGGCCTGGGGCTTCTCTGTGCTACAGCCCTAACCCGTGGGCTGAGGGGGGAGCCCGGTGTCTCTGAACTCGGGAATCAAGAGCGTTTGAGATAGTCCGTTTGGTTCACTATTAATGGACCGTAACGCGTGAGGACAGAGGAGAGTCATTTACCTCCCTCTGAAATACACCAGGCACATTCCAGCCTTTTCAAACCACTTCCTCTCTCTCCCAAGAGCTTCCCCTCCGACCCCCAGCGCCTCCCCTCTGAGCCCACGCTCCTCCTCAAACCTCCAGCTGCTCGCACTGCCTCTCCCTTTCTTCTCTCTCTCCTTTAGGACTTGTTCTCCTAAAATAAACTGCCTTCCCCCTCCAGGAGCAGGGCTGTCAGTGAAGCACAGACGCCAGGCTCGCAGCGATCAGCCCCGCCGCCCACGCCGCCCTAGGGCTGCCCGGCCCCGTGGGTTCGGCGGTGCCGCAGCAGCGCGGAGCTGACGGCGAAGCCCCTGCCGCAGTCGGCGCAGGCGAAGGGGCGCTCCCCGGTGTGTGTGCGGCGGTGCTGGGTGAGGTGGGCGCTCTGCCGAAAGCTGTCCCCGCAGTCGGCACAGGCGTACGGGCGCTCCCCCGTGTGCACCCGCCGGTGCCGCAGCAGCGCCGACCTCCACAGGAAGCTCTTCCCGCACTCCACGCACCTGAAGGGGCGCTCCCCGGTGTGGAAGCGGCGGTGCTGGATGAGGTGCGAGCTCACCGTGAAGCTCTTCCCGCACTCGGAGCACCCGTACGGGCGCTCGCCCGTGTGGAACCGCCGGTGCTGGATGAGGGCGGAGCTCACGGTGAAGCTCTTCCCGCAGTCGGAGCAGCCGTACGGCTTCTCCCCGGTGTGGACCCGCTGGTGTTTCATGAGCTCGGAGCTCTGGCTGAAGTTCTTCCCGCACTCGGAGCAGCCGTAGGGCTTCTCGCCGGTGTGGACGCGCCGGTGCCGCGCCAGTGCCGAGCTCACGCTGAAGCTCCTCCCGCAGCTGCCGCACTCGTAGGGCCTCTCCCCGGTGTGCACCCGCCGGTGCTGCACGAGCTGGGCATTCCCGGAGAAGCTCTTCCCGCACTCGGAACACCTGTAGGGCTTCTCCCCGGTGTGGGTCACCTGGTGGCGGAGCAGCTTGGAGCTCACGCTGAAGGTCTTCCCGCAGTCGGAGCACTCGTAGGGCCTCTCCCCCGTGTGGGTTCTCTGGTGCTGGATGAGATGAGAGCGTTGCCGGAAGCTGCCCCCGCACTCGGCACAGCCGAAGGGTTTCTCTCCGGTGTGGATCCTCCGGTGCTGGATGAGGTTGGAGCTCACCCGGAAGCCCTTCCCGCAGTCCCCACATACCATCAGTCTCCCCACAGATGGATTTCTCTGCTGGGTAATGTCTGTCGACCTCCTGAGACTCTTCCCACGCAGCATCACTCGGCTTTGCCTCTTCCCCAGAGGTCTCTGAACTCTTTCTGACCTGTGTGGGACGACTGGGTCCTGTGCTGGATTCTGGGAATTGTTCTCCTTGGAGAGTCCTGAGAGGAAAGCCTCGGGCTCTGCTGGCCCAGGGATGCCTTGGTGGGCATTCTCCTCTTTCTTGCTCACAATCCCATCTTCAGCTGCAAAAAAAGGAGAATCCAGAGAGAAGTCACAGGCAGGACAGGAAACACTGGAGAGAGGAAATCAGAAGGGGCCAAAGTGCAAAAACTCACCAGATTAAGTACAAAAAGTTTCGATATTTCCCTCCAAACTCTACAGTGGATTTCTCAAGAGTGTTCACAGGAAGAAACCCTGGAAATAGATGGCCCTGGGTGCTCTGCCAGAACCTGGATCCGCTGAAATTATTGGCTTATTAGAGGTGAAAGTTTAGTGCTCGAATGGGAAAGATGGCTGCTCTTCCAGGATATCTGAGAACATTATTAAAAGCTGAGCTGGAGTCATGGAAGGGCCACAAAGAACTGCCCTGCTCAGAACAGATGCAGCATCTGTGCTGCTGGTGTTGCAGAGAGAGAAAAGATGCCCAAAGGAGACACTGGCCCTAAGGGATGAGACATGGAGACCACCTGGAGCCTGGCTGATGCCAGTCTTAGAGCAGAAGAAAGGCAAATTTTGTGCGCCAGGGGTGCAAAGCAAACCTGGTGTGGGAGGTGGTTGGTGAATTGAAGATCCTCCGCGGGCAACTCCAGATAATTCACTGAGGAAATCCAATATAAACACAGAAGATGAAGGCAGTGCAAGTCCATGGAAGTAATGCCAACTGAACAGTACAACCAGCTCCTGGGACACAGGCAATGAACAAATCCCTGCCCTCTGATTCCCACCAAGTCTTGCAGAAACACAAGTGGGATGAATCTGTGCTGCACAGACTCAGGGTCACCTGAAAGCCTTTCCAGACAAGCGGCTGAACAAATTCCTCAGGTATCTACACAGAGCACTGCCTCCTTCCAGCCCGCTGCTCACCTATCCTCTAGGATAGAGGATGCTCCTCAATCCTCTAACATGGATTGAGGAGCATCCCAGCAGGTCCAGAAGCACAGATCCCAGCAGTGCTCTGGCTTCTGCTGTCCGTGGGGCCGTGGAGCTCTCTGCAGACTCACTGAGGGCTCATGTGCTAAACTGGCAAGACAGGATGTGTGGCACAGCCCCATCTGCTGCCAGGGAAGGGCCAGTGGATGTCAGAGGGATGTACATGGGATGTAGAAATGGCAGCATGCATCTCTGAGGAGAGGAATCACATCCAGGGTTAGACAGGTCAGTCAAGGGAAGAGATTCCAGATCATCGTGTACAGACCTGCTGTTGACTACACACAGACCCAAAACATGGCACAGGCTGAGGACTGAAGCTGCAAACACAAAGAGCCCCAGATCTGCCCATGGAAAAACTCAATGGCTCCTCCTGGATCTCTGAAAACCCCTGTGGAATGAACTGGTAACATACCAGGCACGTGGGGCTGATGGACAGACCACAGGCACTGCTGGTGCTCTGGCAGAGCTGGGCTGAGGAAGTGCTCACCTTGAAACAGGAGAGTCACTGCTGAACCAAGAAAGGAAGGAGAGTCCAGAATTACAACCCAGATGATAGAAGTACATATTTGATCTTCCTCTTTCTAGTCACTGTAAGAAAATCATAGCAATACAATTTCACTTTGAGCTCCTGAGATGCCTTTTGGGGTGTGGCATTGATGCTACTTTTCCCTCACATAGTTTCCCTTAAAATCATTTCTTGAGAGGAACAGAAACTGGAACTTTGCTATCCACTTCCACCTGTCTGCAGCCACTCCATCTAGGCCTGTAGGAGAAGAGGGATATCCAAAGGCAGGATAAGGACATTTCTGTCAGTCCAGCATGAAACTCCTGACCTGTAGGTCTGACTTTCTGAGCAGACAGTGGAGCTTGGGAAGTTGTTCTGTTGCTGTTGTCTGTAAAGGGTTTGATCAAAATCATGAACACAGAACCTCACCAGAGGAATTCATACTGGAAGCATTAGGGCTGAAGTGGCAAAAATGAATAAGCAAGAGAAAAAGGAAGAGTGTGGCTCCTTGTCAGCCCAGGCTAATTTGGGTTATGCTCAGGCCTCTGATAGGCCCAAGACTGCCAGGGCTAAGCTACAAGGAAAGCTCCAGGTAAGCAGAGTGAGTGTAAACATTGAGAGAGAACCTAAATATCACCTTAAATGTACCCTTGGATCTCTCTTTCTCAGGAGAAGGCACCTGGAGCTCCTCAGAGATGTCACCAATTTTAGCAAAAGAGATCTGGAGTGCAAAGGTGTTCCCAAAGACATTCATCCTTCACCAAACTGGTAAGGAAACTGAGTTGCCATGGGATGGATGACCCTCACGAGGTGGGAAGGAAGGGAAAAGAAGATCGATGATTCTGTTATTCAGGGGTAGGACACAAAGGCTGACTATAAACTGTGTCAGATCCTTATGACCAGCCAGGTGACAGGGGACATTCACTGCAGGTAAACACAAAGAACTGCAGAGGTGAACAGCATCTATACCTTGCATTTTTATCAGAATGGGCCCAGGATGTTCTTGGTATTATTCAGGAATGGCACCATGGAGTTAGAGCAGATGGATGAAAACTGCAGCTCCCAGGCAGACAAAACAGCTCATCAAATGCTAATGATTGTTTGGGAAAAACAATCAAACCCCACATCCTGTGTGTGCAAGGAGGGGATGGATCCCCCCTTTCAAAGAAATTCCAACAGAGCTGAGGCAGATACAGAGGATGACATGAAGGACCTGTACTCCTGTACAGATTCTGTAGAGATGACTCAGCTGCCCATTCTGTTGTGAAAAGGCACAGCTGACAGGGCTATTGCAGAGGACTATAAAACCACAAGTGGCCCATGGGTGGGGATCTCTGACATCAAGTGATCTCCTAGAGGGCAGTGTCAAAGCAAACCAAAGGAGGCAGTGACTCACGAAGCAGCTGAATATGCTGTGGAACTGCTGGATGAGAGCTGTCACTGATGCTAAACCGCACACAGCTTCAGATAGCAAGAAATTACAGACAGGGCTGTGAGATCAGGGAGACATGGTGTGTCTAGTTCAGGACTTTCTGAAGCCACAGAGTGCCAGGGCCTGTGAAAGCCCATGGCACAGCATTGCCTGTCTGCCTTCTCTGGGATCCAGCCCCAGCCTCTGCCAGGAGCAGCAGCAGTGCTGGGAGGACTGTGTTCCATCCTGGTACCACCA